GAAAGTCAACTTGGAGGACAGCATGATCAGAGAGTCCAATAGGCGGGTGTGCCTTAACAGTTGCTGGTGAAGGGAAATCAGACATCACCAGGTCCAGGGTGTTATCACCTCGGGTGGGTACGTCGACATGTTGACTCAGGCCATGGTAGCAGCAGATATCCTCTGCATACTCTCCAGCTCGGGTGGTCTTGTTGCTGCAGAGCCAGGCAGCGTTATGCACATTGAAGTCGCCGGTCACAATGACATTTGATCCGTAGGTACGGGATGCCTCCAGCGTGTTGTCTAAGTATTCCAATAGCTGGAGATCTGTCTCCGAACAGGACCCGGGCCGATAGGCTGCACAGATAACAACTTTCTGTCCACTCTGCGTCGTGACACTCAGCCAGATGATCTCGTGATCATGGCACTGGATGTGATCAAGATGTTCATATCCTAGGCCAGCCTTCACCCAGACTGCTACTCCACCACCGTGTGCAGAGCGATCCTTGCGGATGGGGGTGTGATAGCCAGGCATGGCTGCTTCAGATTCGCTGCACTTCTCTGGCGTAAATTTTGTCTCTGTGACTACTGCTATATCTGGCTTCAGGGTCTGGAGGGTGTGGCGGAATTCTGCAAGCTTGGACGATAGGCCAAAGGCATTCGTCACCAAGAGTCTGAACATCGTTGGTTGGCTACTGGGCATCGTGCATGCTAGACGATCCCTTGAGGGCACCAGACGATTCATCAGTGTGCTGGAACTCACCAAGTTTGGATTGCAGTCCGAAGGCATTTGTCAGCAGGAGCGTTAGGCTTGGGGGAATCATTTGGATTGCTGCTCAGTGCGTTCCTTAAATCGCCATGGCCTCGCGTACAGGGGCCTTGGCCAGAAATTCTCAGTTGTGACCAGGGTGAGGTCCTTAGCGTCCACAGTTAGGTGGGCAGACACTCTTCCTGCCTCCGTGGTGTGGAGGCTGCAAGTGTGCACCGTTGCCATACCCCCTGCTGCAACTGCACGCTGGCGGGTGAAGCATTTCAGTCCCTCCTCAGTACAGCTTGAGCTTAAATTGCCTACATACAAAACTGCCCTCCTGGACCTGGGAGGCTCTCCTGACACCAGTTGCCAGCTGTCGTCGTCTAAGACCTCCAGGACTGGCTTGGAGCGATGTTTAGCGCTCCTGCTGTAGGGGCCCTCAATGCCAATGTCAATGATCTCAGAATTACTGTCTTCCTCACCGGACGCCTCAGGGTCACTGCCAGTGTCACCCACGCTACGGGGCTCACCCGTACTAGCAGTGCACGCGGCAGCCTGGCCTGTGCGGGTACGGGTACGATTTCTTGACGATTTCGTAGATCTACTCTTCGTACGCTGGCTCTGCTGAGGAGCTTGAATATTTGGGAGAACACTTGCCTTGGCAATGGCGGCTTCCTTGAGGGAGACAACTTCCTGAGTCAGGCCTAACACTTGCCGCGACAGGTCATTGATTCTTTTGTTGAGGCGATCCTCGCGATCGGCCGACTCGGACGCTAAGTTCGCCAGGGTCTTGATAACCTCAATCACAGACGACTCGATACCCGGGAGGGAGCACAACAGTTTTGTCTCTACCTCTGAGAGCCCCTTGAGGGCGGCCTTTGTAGCTGGGGGCATGGCCGCCAGAGGTGGGCCAGCCCTACTACACGATACTAACTAACTAATACTGCTAGTGGTCCTCTTGGCCACGCCGACGGGCTGCCAGAGACTGAAAAACTGCGGAGCTCAAAAATTTGCTTCCACTTCAGAAAAACCATTGAAGTGTCCGTGATGCTCCCCTTCAACAAGAAGCGCTGAAAAAAATTGCTTCAAATCATCATAACAAGTGTACTTCTCGAAGAACATGTACATGATGTACATGTACAAAATGTAACAAAACGTCATGTACACACATGTCTACATACATTGTTGGTTGACAGCATCCTTCATCCTTCTGTGACAACCGGACCTACGAGACGGTGAGAAGGCAATCATGCCTGTGCCATTGGTGAAGTAAAATAAAAGTCAACAACAACAACAACAACAACAACAACATGTTCCAAGGTGGAGGACCACTGTGTTTGGTAACAGTGACCTTACTACAACCATCCACGGTTGGCAGAGCCCCAGTTTTGCGACCATTTGAACCGGCTCTTCCAACCGTGGATGGTTGTAGTAAGCACTGAGCAATGATGCTATGATAATATTATGCACAAGAACTCGCTCATTTTGAGTTGCGATATCAGCAACTCCGAGCATTTTCTGAAAATTCGGATGCTTTTTCAGCAACTTTCGCTTGTTTTGGCATGGTTCCGAAAAGCGTAAGTTGCGAAATATTTTGGCATCTTTGGGAAAGGGCTAAATCGTGCATGATCTTTTCCTTGCCCTGTATTACCAAAAGATGCTTTTGCTACGTGTTAGAATGAACTCGGATAGAGAGCCAAGGATTATTTATAAAAAGTAGAAAGGAGCAAGGAGCTACAAGTTACACTATAATGTCCACTAACACCACCAGTTACTTGACAATCAACTCATGCGATAACATTGCACGACACTGACCAACGGTACTGACGTTCTACAACTAACTTTTTAAAATAACTGGCTAGCAGCTCTAGCACATCTTGGATGCGCGCTCCAACAGCCTTCCAACTATTACTTACTTTTTTGCTACGTGTTGGGTAATTTTAGGTGTGACGTGCCAGGTTTCAGGTGCACTGACTAAGGTAGAACTTACGTACATGTACTTGGTGACCAGCCTACCCTTCATATACAGTGGTCCCTCTATAATCCGGCACCATTTGTGCCACGGAAATCTGCTGGATTAGGGAGGGTGCTGGATTAACAAATCTGATCTACTGCTGCAATGTGCATGAAGAGGACATTTTGGTGACTGAAAATTGTGCTGGTTTATAGAGGGTGCTGGTTTATAGAGGGTGCTGGTTTATAGAGTGCCGGATTAAAGGGGGACGACTGTACTAGTACATGTACAATCATACCTTGGTGCCTTTTAGGTGTCGTCTAAATTTCGCTGGCTGAATTCTCTACGTAAATTACGGAAACAGCCAGACATGAAGAGGAAGGCACACGTCCCGTTCTATTCCCTATCTTCTCTTTCTTTGTGTACATGTTCCGTGTTACTTGCCGGAAGACTGATACCCATGATGACGGGGATGAGATTGCAGACAAGGAGCAGGAGGTTGGAGATAGCAGAAACATGACAGTTAGTGAGGACAATCTGTGTGCCGAGAGACTACTGTTGTTCCACAAGGCTCGCGAAATTACGTTTACATGATGACACAAAACATGAAAAAGGCTCAATCGAGTGCTCTTTTGACTTAGATGCACGCGCACATGCATGTAACATGTGTCTAGGGAGGATGTGTGCGCGCGTGTATTTCTGGATTTTGAGTGCGTTATCAGATGCCCATAAACTCGGGATAATGGTACATGATCCCAAGAGAATAATCTCTAATCAAGCAGCCATTCTGACTGGGAATGGTCAACGTCTATAATTAGAAATTAGCCAAAACGAGCTCGGAAGGTAGGGGAAATAACTAACTGCAAGCTGCCAAGTTGTGAATGACGGACTGTCTGTGACATTCGGTCTGGCCCGCTGAATCCATTTCTACCCTTCGACCTTACGTCTGTACAACTTCTTAGGGTATGCCCTAAGTAAGAAGATATTCTGTGGCAGACTGCTCTGCGTAGAATGATGGAATGAACAATAGAACAAATTGCACCTTTCCGTGTCAAGTTTGTTTGGAGGAGTTGAAAAGTGGAAAGTCAGAAGAAGAAAATGGGTGTCAACACCAGGTCTGGAACCGGGGACCTTCACGGGATGACTGAAAACCGCCAGCATGGTTCATTCATTTCATTTTCTTGATTTTCCAAAGGCAAATGGATGCCTGGGAATCCCAAGGGTGAAATACAGTCATGTTCATACCTGTAATTGTAGGTAAGAATGGTGTGGCTTGCTGTCCAGCAATGCTCTACCACGTATAGTCGGTGACTGTGTAGATCAATTGAGCTGTTATGTGATGTCCACGTACATGTGTGTGCAGTCGTCATCATTGCGGTCGTAGTTGTGTAAAGAAAACCACCGTCATTGCTGTAAAATAATTACCTACAGCATGCGTACCTGGTGTACAGTCTTTGCATGTCCATGTAAAACATTACCTACAATAAGTACATGTATGTGTACTTCATACATGTACAGTCTGTATGTAAACATACATGTACGCAATTGTCTGTGAACGCCATTGTCTGTGAATAAGTACAACAAAACAAACAATCATGTACAATGAATTATATAAAATAATGGAGCCTAGCATCAGGACTAGCGGTCAGTATACACACTACCGGTATCCAATATACACGTACCTACATGTAATATGCACGATCGACAACTAACTTCAGTCTTCGACCTGACTTCTGTTATATGTCGTGAGTTGACCTTATAACGTAAGTACATGATTGTAGTTACTTCGTTAGAAGCATGAATTCATGTCGCTAGGAATTATTTACTTCATTCTCTGCATGACCCTGATTCTGCCCCAAAGATCATGGCAAGTCTGCCTGTATGAGGTTCATAACTTGATTGTGTTTGTCAGGCAGAAAATGCAAAACTGACCAGGATAAAGGCTAAAAGAAAACAGGTGTATGGCACACGCGCGCGCACACACACACACACGCACGCACCCATGCATGCATGCATACACACACACACACACACACACACACACACACACACACACACACACACACACACACACACACACACACAGAGAAATCAATAGTCCATTACGCCATTGGGATGGAGACGCACGTGCAGCAGACCCAAAATTGTTTGTCTTACGCTACGCGAGCAGCAATCGGATTGACTGATTCAAACCTCACACAACACACAGTGAATAGAATACGCTTGGTCCACAACAAACCAATCTACTAGTTAATCGAATTCCCGACAAACATCAGAAAGCCAGGCCAGTTTCACACACGCACATCCAGGTCACTCTTGCATAAAAAATATCTTTCTCTCGAACGTGTGATATCACTGTAATTGTAGAGGGTAGCGAGGGGTTAAGGGGGGGGGTGGGGGGGGGGGTTAAAGGGGGGGGGGGATGGAACCAATATTTTCAACCAAGAACGCAAGGAAAGCACGGATTACCAATGAAAGCATCCAGAAATTATGGACAGCACAATACGGCCTATGGGCCATCGCTCAAATTGTTTTGCAAAAGTATTCTCCATGTTTACCTTGACAACCTTGTGGAAAGCAGACCGTCCATGGGATATTTACCAGAGCGTGTACTGTGAGAGCTAAGTTTTCACAAAGGACAACGATTTAGAATATAGTATGACCAATGAGTAACTGGAAGGAAAGAGAAGATTTTGAGCCAGAGAGAATGTCTTCGATATAGCCGGAGATAAAAGGTTTCGGGGGGACTGGGAAATCCATAATTCATATTCATTGAGCCGGTATACATGATCCGGTCGCTGCAATGCAAAGCAGTAGGAAACTCAAGACGACACTGTTACAGGAACAGTAAAGATCAGCGGTGGGTGTGTCTTGCCGTGGCTTAGAAAACTCATTGTTCTGTTCATGAAGATTAAACTCAGCCCACTTTCGTGGCTTAGGCACTCATTGCTGTGTATTTGTACAGGTCCAATTCAGCCCATTGCAGTGGCGTAGGCATTCACTGCTGTGTTTGTGAATCCTGTGCCTGAGCAGGGTAGACTCTCACCCACTGCTGTGGCATCTGATACTGGACTGGCGGTGGGATGATGATGGGCGCTTGGCCCATGGCCGCAGCACTCTGCGGTGTCGGTGGCCATTCCATGTTGGCAGCGTACTGGTTGGGAGAGCCGTACGACAGTATCGGCTGGTAGTTCATGGTCATCTGTGCCGGGTGCATTCCCTGTGGTTGTTGTGGCGCTCCGCCGCTCACAGGTACTGCCGGTGACGCGCTGGCAGGCCCTGCCATTGCCGCTCCCGGCGGCATCTGAACTGCTACAAACATTGGCTGCTGTGCAGGGATGTACTGAGGCTGCGGCTGACCACCGGTGCTGGCCGGAGGGGTTTCGTGTGGCGTCAGTGTGACCTGCTGTGGTTGCTGCTGCTGCTGCTGCATCGGTGGGGGAGAAGGTGTAATGGTTACCTGCACAGGGCTTAGCCTTGTTGCCGGCGACGGGAATGTGTATGTTGTCGTTGGTTGGCAAGTCGTTACATCGACCTCTTCTCCGCCGTGGTCAACTTTCACTGCAGGCTCGTTGGGCTGGTGTAGCAATGGTGGAGGCCCTCCGATGGGTTGTGATTGGCGAGCAGTTAGCGGTGGGGACGACGACCGTACAACGGGAGCGTGGTGTGGTTTGCTCTCCTCCAGCTTGACATGATGCTGCTGCTGTGCAGCTTGGTGACGTCGTTCAAATAATGTGGGTGCCTGGTGGTGCTGTTGTTGTTGGCTGCTGCTGGATGCCGGTGGCTCCGATCGCTGCTGCGCTGGTGCAGAGCTGCGAGGACGCGATGCGGCTTGTTGCTGCTGGCGAGGCGGCGATCTCACGGTGGCCTGACGAGGTTCGCGGCAATCGGTGCTGCTGCGCTTGCGTCTGCGCGCCCTGGCACGATGGTTCTGAAACCAGACCTGCAGCAGCACAGAAACACAGATAAGCAAAAACAGTGCAATAATCAGATGCGTGCTCCGTCCAAAGCGGCAATAACAATGAATAATCATTCATTGAGTTCAAAGCTAAGGATCACAGCAGTAGACGAAAGGGGATGCAACTTGAAATACCTGAATTGCATAAACAACATTGAAGGAAGATACCAGACACAGTCACATACCTGAATACGTGCTTCCGGGATGGCAAAGTCTTCGGCTAGTTGCTCACGTGTTCCTATGTCCGGGTACTCGCACTCGCGGAACGACGACTCCAAGATGCGCAGCTGTTCTGGACTGAAGTTTGTGCGACTTCTCCGCTGCGGTCGACGCCCCGTCATTGAATACCCACCGACGGGACTGGGAATTCCCGGCGATCCCTCGCCGTGAGGACTCGAGGCAGAGAGAGGTGATGGCTGGTCTCCCATGTTGCTATGGTTGCTGGCCGCCGCTGCGGCCAACCCGACTAGGTCCGCAGCGCTGCCGCCAAAGCCGCTGTCTCCGCTGTGCGTGAGGTGCAGGCGCTGCTCTCCTCCGCCACCGCCACCACTGCTGCTCATTATGTTCCCACTGTCGGGCGTGTTGCGGTGCTCCTGGTCGGGGCTGGTGATGGACACGAGGGATGTGCGCGAGTTGGAGTGATGGCGTGACATGGAGCAGAGCGACGACTGGCGCATGTCTGCAAGACAAGGATCACAAGAGGCAACCATACAATGAGATAAGTCAGGATTCACACTTACTACAGTAAGAATACAACAGGGGATAGAATCAGGGCAATGTGTAACTACAATTCACCGGTGAACTTCAAAAGGACCGGCATTGATCTCCAACCCGGAATTTACTAGCGTCGACAGATCTGATATACTCACACAAACAAGAGTGTACTGCACAAACAGAGTACTAACACAGATCACAACACATCATTGTAGCACCTAACAGCTGTTGACAAGATCAACACTGGACTAGTAAGCCACAAAGTAGACATGATAATCCCAATTTCTCAGAGACAATGCAATTTTGCTTGGGAATTTGTCAATTTGAACAAGACCTGGTTTCTGTATCCTCACGTTTGAACACATCTGCTAGATGAGAAGGCAGCAAGCATTTGTTTTGAGATATTGCCATGAAGAGCCTGTGGTTTAATGTTACAATATAGCCAGCTGTAACATGATGTTTTTGTAAACATTCCTTCTTCACGGAGCAACAACATACCCTACACAGACTATGCTTTTTTTTGTACAAAACTTTACACCATTTAGCACAGAACAACAATCCCATACACCACTACTCTACACACCTGGTGAGCAAGGAAACCTAAACATTGCCATGCATCCACCTTGCTGCTGGGATTTCATGATGGAGACGCGCTGCACTTTTCACTCCAAACAACTATCACAAAATACGTGCACCCTGAAAGTATCCAAACTCTTTTGAGAATGAGCAAACATCTTTGTGCTACCTCACTACATATACCAACTAGAAAGGTGTTGACAGCTAAGCTATGGTACTCGTTGGCACGCAATCTGGAATTCTATTTACATTCTCTGTGCGTTGCGCTCCCCGCCAAAACAAGTCGGCAGCCTAGGTAGTCCGCTCGGTTCGGGTTTGAAACGCGTGGAGAATGCGGAGGTCTGTGTACCCGGGTTGTGCGTGTTTTCTTCTCACACTTACACACGGTCGTAGGCCCTGCGACAACGCTGACTAAGGTATTGGCAGCACGGAGCGTGGCTGCAGCCAGATAACACATGCCTGGTGTGACATGCGCCTGTCACTCGTCCAAATCTGATAAACACTTCTGCATTGATCGGCACAGGCCTGAACAGAAACCAGAGGCTGGGAGGGCAAAGCTATCGGCCAGGCTTGATTCCCCTAGAGCCACGCCACTGGACATGAGATCAAGCCACCTTGAACCACGAACATCTTGCCCTCTCCATCAACATTGTCAGCTCCACCAACGAGAGATAAGGTTTCCCCACCGAAATCTTCACAATGTCGCTTTATTGCACCTTATTGCAAACCTCTTGCCATCAAATTCCAAACGCAGCGAGCATATTCCAGAAAGAAGCCCTTAGCTGTGAAGCATACTTTCCGATACCTTACATCACCACAAATATTCCAGACACATTTGCTTTATGATCAGCCATGCTACTGTAGATATTCCGTAAAATGATTGTTAGACGGGTATTGACCTGAGGAACTCTATGTTCCTGTGTAGTAGCGGTTACTCTTCACACTGTTGCTGCCATTGTGCTGTGCGTGTGTGTGTGTGTGTTTGTGTATGTATGTTGGAATACATGATCGTCCCCAACTGATTGATCCAGGACTCGGCATCGCTCTCCCCACATACATTGCATAGTCTAGACGGTGTAAACACACGCACAGTTCCAATAGTAGTTGGGAGGAGCATGTAATGTCTGCCGCTGCAGTAATCTGGAGTTTTGCAAAATCAAGTTTCCACTGGGATGTTTTGCCCAAACTAGTAACTTGACCTGGCTGCACTATCAAACACCTCCCAATACACTAAACACACACTAAACTACATGGTGTGACCTCAGGTAGTCATGCCGACAGCCAGTCCCTAATCTTTTTATCCAGAAAATCAGGGTTCTAGTACAGTGATGTCTGATTGCATTTAGGGTTTGCTGCAAGGCACTAGGGACGAGGCAGACAAGCAAACCAAATCACTACAAACTCCTTTCATGGATCGGAGATTGGTGGCCGGGATTCAACGGCACAATCGTACAGCCGCCCCGGCCCACCAGGCTCGATCACCTCCTTCTCCTCCGCAACGGAGAGCGTCTACGGCAGGACTCTCAGAGTTGTAAGTGAACGGAGGCGACCATTCACACTACTCGCACTACGTATCAGCATGTCTGAAGACGAAGCTGGCCAGTGTAAACGACCAGTGGGCATACTACTGTTGAAAGTGCGGAGGAGCCTGGTGTCTAGCAGCAGACATGCGCCATGTCTGCTGCGGCACTCCTAATGAGTGCATACACACCCTGTACAGTTCTGTCCGTGTTCAGTGTTAGAAAGGCCGGATTTCCACCTATCACTCTAAACCCTGTCATGTCAGTGTGGTTTGTGCTTCCTGATCAGATTTGTTAGTGTAAACCTGGCGGGTTTGCTCTAGGATGACATCATGACCCCATTCTGTTGCTATGCCTGGCACTGGACTTCAGTAGGGATCTCAGCGCGTGAACTGCGCAGCCAGTCTGCGCAGGTGAGATTTTCGATCCCAAACGCGTCCAGTGCAGAAATCGTGGAAAAGAACATTTTTTTCGAAATAAATCAAGTTGAAGAAGACAGTAGAAATGGCTGAATATTGCGTCCAGGAAAGCACGTTCTACGGCCATTTCCAAGCTACCTATCTCCCAGACACTCTCTCAGAGGAACTATGGAGGGTCAAAGAGCACAATCTTTCACTCTTGGACGCAGCGTGAACACCTCTTCTACGGAGCGCGATGTCTTCTCTCTGAGTGATAATGGCGGCGATGTTCGCGATGGCTGATGCACTGAAAATCGAAGTTAGGACAATCTAACCGGAGAAAACGTCTGAATTTTTGACTGAATCCTCTCTGAAGTGGGTTCTTGCCGCATGGAAAATTATAGGAAAATCGACCGGGGCAATATCGCCTTGGCCACGCTGTCCTTCGGCGGGAATTACAAAGTATGTTCGAACGGCGATGAAGATGACGATTCCGCTAGTGTCCACCGCGGGCCCTAGTGTCGAAAATCGACCGTCGCCATTTTTCTGCTGTGTCCGCGAGCTGCACTCAAAACTCGATGACGCAATGTATGCGCAAACACCCTGCGCACTGCACGCGCTGAGATCCCTAACTTCAGTTGCCTGGCATGCCATGCTTGATTTTGTACACCGTCAAACCTGCGGGATTTACGTGAGATACACATTGATGTAGTGTGTGATGGTTGCTGACAGTGCAATGGGCGCCAACGCCAGCCTTGCGTCCTGCCCTCTGTGCAATCACATCGCCCACGTCTATCTGCGGACAGTGCGGACAGTGCGGCTAGGTGGCTAGGTGGCTAGGTGGCTAGGTGGCTAGGTGGCTAGGTGGCTAATATAGTCAGTGCAGATCACAACGCATGGCTAGACTGCCGGTACGTATATGCATATAGGCAGTGATACAGACGCAGGACGCATGAGGTCATCATCCACTGCTGAGCGGACATAATCACGTATCGGATTGGCAGCCTGCAGGCGGGCTATTGGAACTCTCATGAGAAGTACGGAAGCACACTGCATGTAAATGTTCACAGCATAGCAATCATGTCATTCCGACTAGATGTTGACAACATCGTGAAATGGTTGAACACAACAAGCGATGATGAAATCAAAAGATCATTAGCGCTGGAGCATGCAAGCGCATAGCATCCTGTTTTTGACGCTCCGCTCTCCGTGCTCTCTGCTGCAGCCCTGCCACCCACCATGCTGACAGCACTGTTGTTTCGCAATGAGGCCAGCCGGGCATGTTTGAAAACAACCAGGTCACAGTGGGTCAATGAAACTCGTGTGATGCCTTCGAGGCGTTGGCGTTGTTCTGCAAGCGGCTATGCATTGCCTCGCTTGGCTGAACCGTGCAGCCTAGGGCAGGGGGAGAATTTCCCGTTTTCGTTTCCTAGTACTCCATATGGCTGCAGGGCGCTGTGTATGAAATCATTCACGTCGGATGGCAGACATACTTGCAACGCATGCAGCCACGGATGTCCACTTCACCAAGAAACATACCAAGGTCAGTGAAGTAATAATGCATGGATGCTGTATGTGTGTGTATAGCATACTGCTGCAACATGACAAGCTGACAGGTATTGGCGGGAGAGAATTCTCATTCATCCTATATCGAATCATGCCGGCCGGCCGTGCTGATGAATTCCAAGGCTGTACTGACGTCAATCCGGTGTCAAGATTTGACAAGTTTGACAAGCTCGCAGACAAAACCTTACTCACTCTGTCCACTGGTCAATGGAGCAAGGAATGCAGATAGATTTACTGGACCTAAACAGGTACAATATATTCGTGTACTGGATTGAGCTAGCTCCACACTTCACGGGTACAATTCTGACGTTCTATTGTACTGTGTTATATTTGACACTGATGAGATTGTTTCTGAGTGCTTGACTGCCAATTCCCCATCAGATAGTTCAGCCAGCGCCGCCCCAAGCCAAGGACTTGCAAGCTGCATCCATTATTGGCCCGGTTAACGGTCACTAGTGTTTGTTGTGAATTTTACTTTCCTGTCATGCTAGTAACGCAGGCTGTGGGTCTAAGTCACTAGTCTATGCTGTAAACTAGAGTTTGGCTTGGTTATATGACTGGACTATGTGCAGGGTATGTGCATGGTATTTGTGATGCCAAACACGAAAACCAGTATGCACTGAACTGGCCTCTGATGACTTCAATAGTCCACTAATGTCACATGGCCACATGCTGCACCCTCCCTACACACTTTGTGTGCAATTTTGCCTCATATTTTGCCTCATATTGTGTTCATCAAGTTCATGCCAGTAGCAGCAAGAAATTACAGGGGGGGGATTTTCAATATGTAGAGAGAATGGGCTTGCAAGAATGGTTTGCTGCCTTATCTATGATTTGGGGTTGAAGCAGTCAGAAATCAGGAGTCTCTGTTTGCTTCGAACCCATCCTATGATCTCCAACCCCTTTGATCACACTCTCTGATTTCTCTGCACACAACCCAACATGTTGTTGTGATACATCTAGGTGGTCTATTCACGCTCAAATCTTAGCAGTGCGGCTCAAACTCAATATTGCTGAATCTAATCTTAGATTTGCCACTCTTCTGCCCAGATTGTACAGCAGCATCAAGTGCGCCATCAAGAAACCTGATCAATGCACTCACTTGGTGAAGAGTTCCTGAGCTGGTGTGTCTGCTGTTGACTAAATAGATCTGCGACCTTCTGCCCCCTTGGAGATGAAGTACTTTTGGACTCACTTGGCCAAGATCTTATCAGCACCCTATCCAGGGGCCACAGGATCTCTAATGAGGACAATCCGTGCATTGTACTGTGTGATAACAGTGGCAGATCCACTCTGCGTGCTAATCACCACTAAACTGCTGTATCACTCTCTTAGATTCATCATGCCCAAGGCCAACACCACTACACTGTAGAGTTAGGTGTATGGAGACTTGGAGAGGCAAAGTGTTTACATCTTTCACCTTGATTACAGTTCCAGGCCTCACCATATAATAGCCATGCTTCACAAGCACCCAGGGTCAAGCAGCTGCCTGACAGTGAACTGACTGAATGACAGTGTGTGAGCGTGCATGTGCTGTAAACATAATTGCACCTCTGGGCTGAACTCAGTCACTGAATGCCAAGGAAACGGAAGCCAGGATCCCAAACCTCTGTACACCACCTAGCCACCTGCCAGGTCAGAAAATAATAATAATGATATAATAATGCCACTGCTGCGGACGCTCTCTGAGAGGCCATTGAGTGTAAAACAGAGCATGATGACGCTCCTTACACGGCGGAACCAACTACACCCTGCATGCACAGCAGGCAACTAACATAGCTGGGCCTGGCCTTTGCCTGACAAGAGATGAATACACTCGTGGAAGCTACAGCGGAAGGCACTCTTTTCTCGTGTTTGCTCTAGCTCAAGCGCTGCTATTTTCCTCAAGTATGTGCAAATTCTCCCAAACCCTCTAGTCTCCCAAGCTGATGAAACATGCTCATTTCCATGCAGAAGACGCCAGCAACTGACGTTGTGCTGAGCTGAGTTGGTTGCAGCATTGCGTATCTGCATGTTGATGTGCTGCAAAGCCTGACTGGCCAAGTGTTCTCTTTCCTTCCGATCCTGCTTCAGTCTAGGTTAGGTTAGCCTATGCAAGAAGTAGGTACTGTATGTGTTTGAGATACGAGTAATGAGAGGGGCAATTCCATTCCGCCTGACCAGACTAAAACACACTACATGCTAACACAGCACAACCTTACAATCTGTGCGGTTTAGGAGCCACCAAGAAAAATGCTAGTCACCCTGGCAGAAGAGCCAGTTGCCCCAGGAGGAGTGCAGGAAAAAGCCCAGGCACTTGAGATTGTTTACAGACAGGATCAATGGTGCTGAATGGACATGCCACACGGTCACAGAAGTGAATGCCTAAAGAGTGACTCAATGACACATGGAGGAATGAGGAATTGAGGATGCGCCCCTGATCTGAGTTGACTGCCAGTGACTCCTGGCATACACTGATGCACATTGACCATACACTGTACTTGTATGGGGTTTTATTGTGTTTGTAAGGGGCTGGCCTGTACGGAGGAACAGTGTTACTGTGCAAGAGAAATCGTCGCGCCCTCCTGCGAATCTCTACACTTAGTGAGAGCCAAGAAATCATGTTCGCTTCCTGCCCTCCTCAAGGACGAGGGTCACGCTTGCTGTACAAGACTGTGCAGCAGAAGCCGTGGCGTTGTGTACCCTTGGCACGGTCAAACTATTCAAAGCCAACCGTTGTTGAAGGCAATGCAACAAAACTCAAAAGCCCTCCCTATCTCCCTCTATCTGACAAGACATCATTTGTACACGTATGCCTCATACAAGTTAGGAGTCATGCAGCGATAATTGAAGTGTAAGCCTAAAGATGGCAACACCATAAACCATTCTTGAGCCACAGATCTCAGCTGTGACATTGCCAGAGTTCATCATGTGCCAAAATCAATATCGAGGTTGCTATCATCAATGGCGCAAGGTACTTGTTGGGTTGTAAACACCCCCCCCCCTCTCTCTCTCTCTCAAGTACATCATAACCCCACTGGTGGAATTTGTCCTCCTTATAGGCGATTCAGACTACGGCCAACTGTGACCACGTTTCCACGATTTGATCAGGGATTGTTCATAACATTTTGAAACATGACTGCATCACCATAGAAATTCAAGTTTACACGTGATTTTGGCCGTAGTCTGAATCACCTATTACTCCCTCATCCTTTCCATCCTTTCCATGCTTTCCATGCTTTCCATTAGTCTGCCACAGGCAAATCAGAACAAAATATATTCACCACCAATCACACTATCCAAGATGATTTCTTCGTCTAATTCATTTATCTAAGGATGTACAGGCCAGCTCGGTTTAGGTTTGGCGAATGAGATCAGCATAACATAATTATCTTGTGCTGGCGACTGACCCCTAGAAGGCTAGATTCTGGCCGTACATTGCACAAATCAATGTAGGTACATGGGCAGCGTTTCAATGCAATTACTGCAGAGTGCCCCCATTCTGTTGCAATGCATTCAGCGACGCAGTTGCTAGCCATTTCAAGCCTACACGATTCGAGTGTCAGCTCACGACGTCGCAGAGTTAGTTAGCTGTTCAGCTCTGCAGTACCTACGCTGATTTCGCATTGTCAGCCGACCGCCTCACACTTCTCACTCGTGATTCTGTAGCAGCCTGCGCCGTGACGGCCCCAGCTGTTTCCTGTCATCCAGCTGAATCGGTCTCCATTCTCCTCTGTCAGTTAGATGCCCAACGCGGACCTCGGGCTCTGGTGCCAACACGTAGATCTACAATAATTTACCAAGTAGCCATGCGCGAAACTGATCCAGCACTCGACAGTGAATTTTGTAGCAGAAAATCAACACGTGGCAGTAGCGCTACATGATTTGGACAGTGTGTGATTGTGGGTGTGGAGACGCAGAAAGGCTTTAGTCGATCCGAGGCAGGTCGGAAAGCACTACAAATTGATTCAATCGGTGTTTCAAGACGTACATTGCGCACGGGGAGCTTCAGGGTTGGAATTTTCTGTTTTAGTTGTTGTTTTGTTTGCAACGGTCTGCTCCCATTCACAAGGTGGTGAAGCTCATCACGGCGCGGTCCAACTGACGGCGACGGCATAGCATTCCGCGTATGAAAAAAATTGTTTGACCGAAACAGAATATGGAAAGGCGGAAACGGAGGACAATGTGAGCACATGTAACCCTTCACCACACCGACACACACACACACGCGCGCACACACACATACACACTGAAGTACCATGACAGTACAGTACTCGAGTAAAGCAGAATCGTAGAAGAAAATGTTTTCGCCGGCTATTCGGGTCAGCTCGGGGTTAACATACACGGAACATAATCACGTAACCGTTATCCGTGGTTGCGGACATTGTTCACCTCTTTTGGTTCAGTACTAGAATAACGTACTAGCTGTACTTATGGTTGATAAATATTACTAGCTGTACTGTATAAACTTTTAAAAGTGTATATTCCACACCGGGGACCAACACTATTACCAGATATACATTGAACGGATGGTGATGGCTTACCTCTTCGCGATGTCTCTGCCAGCTTTGGTTGCTCGACTGCAAGTTGAGCGAGGCCTAGCAATCTGTCGACACCGTAGTTTGTGGCGTTTACTGCACCTCCGCTGCTGGCCGGTGACGCGCAGCGTTGCTTGGACGCTCCTCGATCCTTGCTGCCAGTGTGTCCTCCGCCGTCAACTGCCGGACCAGCCCCACCGCTGCATTGCCTGCTGACCGCGATCAACTGCTGTATGCCGTTCATTGCTGCGTGCCTGCTCTGAAACCCTCCTTGTGTCTTGGGCGAGATTTGTGCACTGTGGCCGGCCTTCAACGGTCCTCCTCCTTGTACTAGGTAGTGAAGATATCCTGATATCCGCGATGAACACCTCCGATCTGGCACCCTGACGGAACACAGGAGCAACAGATCATGGAATCATGGAATTGGGGGTGCTGGTTGCAGTAATGTGTATCCCCTGCTCCTATGGCAAGTTAGCCTACGATATGTGTCCTGCAGTGTCGTTTTCGCAACTACCACATCACGAAGGTCAGTGCGCAACACAGTCTTCACAAATCTTTCCTCCAGGATATGTGGCCAAATCCTCGCCGGCAATACACGGTACGTCTGTTCCCGGAGTGGAGAGTGAGAATCGCGTATGTATCATGAAACTGCGAGACTCGCACAAAGTTGACCTACGGGTGCCTGCACTGTCTCCTCGTGGGTCGTCGAGTCAGCAGCGCTGCATGCAGCGGACTTGGACTGGGTCACGCGCACATACCATCGCGACCTACACGATGCTACTCAATCAGCTGTTGCAAAAGCGCAAAATAGCATCTCGCACTAGTGCAGTGGCATTCATGCTGACTGCCTGTGTCGGACGTTGACATTCTGTTCCAAATGTGCTCAGGGTCATTTTTCATGAAGCTTCGTAGCGCATCGACCGCAAGCGGTAAATCGAATCAGCTCAGCTGTTGCAATCAGCGTGAACGGGTTCAACTGACTCAACCCCCTAATCACAGCAGGTAGACAGCAACTCGCCGCTCCTGATCCTGCTGTATGTATCATCAGTACCCAGTGTATCCCAACAATGACACGTGGACAATGGGCGCAAAGGCTCCCATATACTCTGTATACTGCAAGCACACAATGGCCATGTGATCAAATCGATACGCCATGAAGAGGCCGAGACGTGTGCGTGAATGCAAGACGCCGGATTTGATCGCGAAAATCGCCTGAAGTCAATCATGCTTGACGCCGGTCCGACAGCGAAACGACCATCCGCGCTGGTTCCTTCCCCCTCCCGGATCCCCGCTTCAGGCCAAAATGTGATAATTGTGATACGGGCGTACAGTGGCATATGTGTACATGTCTGAGATGGAAGACATGGGCAACACCGATAACATGTTGATACCGATAGTTTTCGTACTAAACATTAGCGACTTGAGTTGGCTGCGTGATGCGATTGTCTACGTACTAGTAGTAATGTAGTATGCAGTAACCTTCTCAAAAGCTAGACTTGAACAACGATGTTATGCCCAAACCTTTGGAGGCCTCATCTTGCTGATACGGGAAGTAAAGACGAAAGTGCCAACATTCAGCTGTGCGCATCTGCTGTACATGTTAGTTGTACCCTTGATGAACGCAAACACAAGACTATGGCTTGTGTTGACGTCTGCGTCAAAGACTATGATTGTAGAGTGTGGACATTGACACACACTAGATCAACTTCCAAGCCTGGTATTAAATGGGTCTTCAATGATTTGCGCTATGCATGTGGCTTTCTGCGCTCGCGCATCATGACCTGGAATCAGGGAGAGTGATCGCAGACGCCACCACAAATATAGCATGTGGTTTGCATTTATCAAGGCGGCACTACTACCACTGCCCTAACCATTCATTCTACTGATACTGTAATCTGTTGTCCTAGATGACTCTTTGAGCGTGTACATAATTATGTGTTTCGTATTGACAGTAGTGCTAGCTGGAAGGATTGCCCTGTGTCAACTCATGACACGACTCCACTCCCACACTATCCTGGGACACAATTATCGACACTTGGGAGCAAGCTAGCTAGAAACGAACTCAACGTACGAAGCACCATCTGCGTCATTGTAACGACGTCGAGAAGATTGCATTGAGCGCGAACCAAAGAAAGGATGTCTGTTGTAATCGAAACGTCGTCAGCTATTTACGGCAGTCCGGGTCTGCGTATCCGCGCATCCGTCACTCCTGCTTGCCCCAGAGCGGAAGGTAGCGCGTTGCGCTTTGCTGCGCCCATTATGTTCGAGCTGAAGAGCTCAGTGAAAGTCACCGGTTGTGTGCCAGTAGGGGCTCCCGTGGCTGGTTCAGGCTGCGAGTTATCAGTACATTGCATATCACAAGAGCACTAGATCAAGGACGTACAACTGACTTACACGAGTGTTCAGGAGAACTCACTCCCCCCCCCCCCTCCCCCCCCCCCCTCCTACATGTAGCTACCAAAAGTACAAGCAAACCTGCCAGAAGAAGGCAGTCTGGGTCCGGACCAGGCTGTCGTAGACCTACGTACTAGTACTAGTAGTAGCTTGTACAATGCACATAATGCACATGATGTATGTCGATCACTCAGACACTGGCCTAGTGGAAATCGGAAACACTGCGAGTGCGAGATGCCATGCTGCTATGATAAATGACCTCTCTGACTCTGAGTCTCTCTCTGCCAACAGGGGGCTGGCCCCCGATCGTTACCCTAGCACCATTACGCAATCGAATACCGGCGTAGTGGATCAGACGCGGATATGCAAGCACGAATGATTGCATCCCACGGTGGGGTGCACAGTAACAGCCACAGTTGGAACATTCGTTACTCATGTCATGGGAACTCATCAGACACCAGTCGATGATTGCTCAAACAAACTTCTATAGCATTCACTTATCCCCTATTGTCCATGCTGCGCAGACACAATCATCTTGAATCATTTTTCTCCACGTTGCCGGCAGGCAAAATACAAGATTCGTACCCGTCATGCAAACAAACAAAACTCCGCTGGAGTAGCTACAACCAAAGACTAAAGACAGTGTGTTTAACCAGCCAGTCATCTGGCAATCCGTGACGCATGGCAAACCAAAATCTACATCTGCATCCACATTTACAGGACAGTGGACAGTGCACCAATCCGATCGTGATGTCGTGATGGAACAAGACAAACCCGTTGGCACGCGCATCCTCGTACTGCAGCACCTAATCAAGGCTAATGTCCTTTCATAACAGATGTGGCCATGGGTGCTATTAATTTTCAATACTAGTAAGCATTATACATAATCTTGTCTATTCTGAGATGGCATGAAACTTTAAGTTGTGACTGATCAAGCCATCTGTTGTTCTGACTACATGTAGTGTGTAGTCTTGTATAATAATAATACTACTGTCAAGTGCATGTGTTTTTTAAGAACTCATAGGTATCAAGGACAAATCGCA